CCCCCCCCCCCCCCCCCCCCCCCCCCCCCCCCCCCCCCCCCGTTGCTTCCCCCCTTGCTCACTCTTACCCTTGGGCAGCCTCTGGCTTCTCTGTGCTGCTGAGCTCGGAGCCTCGAGACCTTGTCCGAACCACCTTGAGCCGCTGGACTTCTTCCTCGGGCTCTGCATCTCCTAGGGGGATGTGCCCCAGAGCATTCCTCCCTCTACCGCGCCTGGGGCTCCTGCACCTAAAGCTCTCTTACGTCCCCTGGCGGTGGCCTCCGGGAACGGGAGGAGTTCACTGCAGTCTGAGCTCAGCTTTCGGAGCTTGGCTACGCCCCCGGAGCTGTCCAATCCTGGGTCTCCTGCCGGGTTTCCCTCGTGCTCCTGCCTCTACCTCCCGGAGATGACCCTCCCTGCTCTCCTTCTCTGCAGCTGCCCGACTCCCCCCCCCCCCCCCCGCCCCTAAGTCGTTCGCAACCACAGCTTCTCGTCCCTACTCCCTCATCCCTTCTTTGGCAGGGCACCAGTGGGGTCCACGTGCTGTCCTGGCACCCCGAGGAGCCCAGGGGAGCGGGCTAACCCCAAATCTCTGGAGTTCTGCACCTGTGCGATAATCTAGCTATTACATGCCTGAGCCCAGGGAAAGTCAAGCCAATGGATCTCTGCGCTGGGGCTCAGTGTGTACTGTCATCCTGCTCCCACCTTTGCCCCAGAGGTGTCTCTAGCCTGAGAGTCCTTGTGGTGACCAAAGGGCACGTGTGGGAAGGGGACAGTCAGGGCCAGGTGTCCAGCCTCTGGTCACCAGCTCATGGCTTCTAACTGAATGAAGAGAGCCATAAGGAAAGGGGGCCTTAGCCCCACCCCAACAGTAGCAGGCTGCCCACGTGGGGGGGTGGGCTCCAGAGAATTCTTACTAACATTAACCGGGTCCCCTGTTGTGGTGACACTTGTGTGGCTAGTGGTAAGTGACTGGCGCCCAGGCTCCTCCACCAGGGTAGTGTATATGTCCCCTCTAACTGGGAGGGGAACCTCTGGGACCATGGGGTCCCTTCCTCTCCCTGCCCAGATCTCAGGGAGAGGGGAGGGGGCTTGCCCAAGGAGATACCCTCAGTCAGAGAGGGGACAAAAAGGAGAGGCCCAAGTGAGCTGATCTGGGGCCATGCTGAACCCAAAACAGGAGCTCTTGGAGGGCAGGAAGTGACTTGGCCTCTGTGTATCTTTCCCATAGTGAATGCTTCAGAAAGGTTTTGTGAATTGTCCTGAATAATATGATTTGGAGTCCTTCCCCCCCCACCCCCCCACCCCCCCCCACCCGCACCGAGGCTCTTCATCTGGATGCTCCCCTATTGCCCAACCCCCACCTGGGGGTGAGCAGGGCCTCCCTCCAGGGCCCATGCAGCCACACAGATGGGGGCTGCCCAGCTGTGTCTCCTTGGCCTCCCAGAATCCCCAGACCCACTTGCTTGCCTGCCTTCTGGATTTCTTCGAAGCTTGGGCTGGTCACAGGTGCTCCCTCCCATTGGCTCTGTGCTGGGACTGCCTGCATTTCCATCTTCCTCCCCATCCCCATTCCCTTGGTGTCCCCAGTGGAACTGTGCTGCTGTACCCCCCCACCTGTCTGTCCTTCAGTCTTCAAAGACAGTGGAGCTTTGTGCAGCTGTTGCAAAGCCTGGCTTTTGTTTGGGGCACAGCTGGAACTTGTTGAGAAAGCACAGCTCAGCTGGCTTCATGCAGTCCAGTCCATAAGCTTTACAAAGCACCAGTGGGCCAGGTGTTGGGACACAGAAACTAGATGCCAACCAGCCTCTGCTCTCAGGCATCTTAGGCTCTAGTGGGCTGGGGCAGGGAGGGGACAACATGGCCTCACTGGGGATAGGAACCAGGCCTGTCTGTCATTCCTGCCTCTGCCAGGGCAGGCTGGCACTTGTTCTCCCGCTTGATTGTCTTCCATGATGTCCAACAATTTACCCCGAGTCACAGACTCATTCTGCCAGATGTAATCTTCCTAGATCTGAGGGGGCAGCATTCACTTCACTAAACCACTGTCTCTCCAGATAAATTAATACAGGGTCATTTAAAGACTGGGGACTAAGGAAAGGCTTGGATTAGATTGGGAAGGAGACTGGGAACAGGGAGGTGATACAGTCCTGACTATAAGAGGTTGTCAATGTAAGAGGGAGGGGGAGGAGGAGAGGGGAAGCTCTGCTGTTTGGACACAGGAAAAGGGGGGCTCTGGAGCAGGACACCTTCATCATGCCAAGAGCTCTTGGTGTTCATAGGTTCTGTTCCTGGGATGGCTGCCCTGGAGAGATACAGAGAACAGTGGTGGACCCCAGTCACCCACAGATGTGGGCAGCCATGTGGACCCCTTTCTCATTCTGGGGATATGAAACTGCAATCCCACCCCACCTCCAACTATCTGAGGCAGAGCCCCAGCTGCTGAGAGCAGTTGCCTTGGGCTCAGCAGCAGCAGCTACCTCTCCAAGGCATGGATATCCTGCAGTAATTGTCAAGCAGACTCCCCACCATGGGCGGGGCTGCTTCCCTAGGGGGTGAGCTCCCTGTTCTTCAAAGGAGGCTGGATGACCACTTGCCAAGGATGTTGGACTAGGGGATGATTTTTAGACTCCTGTCTTGTTCTGGGATCCTGGGATTCTGTGGATGCAAGAGGGTGTGGGGCTGTTGTGCCCAGCTGGGAGTGGGGGTTGGGGCCAGGTGGGGCTCTGTGTAGAAGGGCCACTACAGCAATCATTCTGACTTCAGGGATCTGAGCAGTCAAGTTAGGGGGCGCTGGCTAACCCCATCTAGAAATGAGAAGGTAGTGGTCAGTGAGGTCTCTAGACTCTGAGGAAGGGAAGATGTCTCAGACTTTATTTAGCTGAGTGACCCTGCGTGAGTGCCCTTTCAGCTTTGGGGCACTATTTCCTTCTTGCTATGTGCAGGAGATCAGGAGTGGGCCCCAGGACCTGTGGCTGGTGGGGAGAAGAGGGTGCAGGAAGGCGGTCAGGCAAGCTTTCCCTGACTGGTTACTGGGAAGGGGTTGAGTGGTGCTGAGTCCTGGCTTTCTCTGCTGCTTTTTTTTTCATTCTATTTACTGCCCTGGTTCCCTCACTCTTATTTCATTATCTTGAGATTATACCCACTGTGCCCAGTGGGAACATGCACTTGGTCACATGCACGCGTGCACACACACACACACACATGCACACACACACATCTGCACATCTACATCACAATTGTACACAATCATGCACACATGAACACAACTGCTTACATGTGCACCCTGGCACACTTTACCACAGTCACACATTTGCACACATGTGTACACCCAATCATGTATGTCTCCTCCCCAGCCACTCTCTCCATGTTCTTTGTTCTTCTATCCCTGTTCTTTGTCTGGCATAGCTTGTCTGCAGAGAGAGCACTGGGAGGCTATCAGCCTATAGACAGAGATCCCTGCCTCAGTGGGACCCCAGACAGCTCGGAGCTCAGGCAGGACTGAGACGGAGGTGCCGATGGGAGGGTGTTGCTGAAGTGAGAGCATTTAGCTGACATGCTCCATGGGCAGAGCTGTATCCTGAGGTCCCCGGGTATGGGCATTATGGAAACCTGGAGGCCCCCACCCCCAATCATCCAAGCCTGCCTGCCATAGGGATTATGTTGAGGAGGGGCTGGAACATTTCCCTAATTCTATAATTTGGAAGTGAAATCTTCATACTTATTAGTTCAGAAACAGGCCTCCTTGAGGTCCATCTCTCGCATAATGAAGGTGACTAGTTCCATCCAGGTGGCTGCTGGGCATCACAGGCTGTCCCTCAAGCTTGGAATCCTCCTCCCCTCCCCCTCCTAGAACTCAAAGTTAAACCGGGACACTACCCACTGCCTCTGGGAAGCCATCCCTGATCTTCATCCCTCCCAAATATGGTCCCCAGGTATCAGAGCTCTCTTTCCTTCCCCACACCCCAAGAGAATGTCAGATCCTTGAAGCCAGCCCCACCCTCCAGCTCCCAGCAGAGTGCTTGGCCCCTAGTGAGTGCATAATCAATGCTCGTTGAATGCAGGTATGGTCACCCAAGATGGGGTGTATGTCAGCCCAGCCCCTGTCATCCTCCCTAGGTTCCCCTGTACTTGTCCCATCATTGCTTTTTCCACCTTCTGAATGATCAGATGATCGTGGAGTCCAGCCCCAAACATCAGCTGCTCTGCTCCCTCAGATTCTAGATGACTGAAATCCGTTGCTGTCGTCAGGACACACCCATTTTAGATTCATGATCTGCCTCCTAAGCTGCTCATCTATTTTCTTCTGCCTGGGTGGTCTCTAGCTTACTCCCATGAAAATGTGACTTCTCTCTTGTTTCCCCAAATCCTCGTCCAACTGGTCTCCACTGGGCATGCCTGGGCTGACTCCTGGACTTCCCCAAAGGATGGTGAATTTTTAAAATAATGTTGCTAACCTCTCCCTCTTTCCCTCCCCTCCCTAGCCCCCTGTTTAGCCCCTCTTTTGATCTAGAGCCATTTCATGTCACTGGTCTCATCGCATCAAGTCTCATCTGAGATGCCTGTGAGGTCAGCCTTTGCTCTCTTGTATTGTTGTCTGTCCTTTGGTGATGGTGATGGGGGAGGGAAGGTTTGGCCACTTGAGGACCTGGATTTTCTTGGCTTCTTTCTTAGGTATGGGATCCTAGCTCAAGAAGGGGAACAGACCTTAGAGGCCACCTAGTCCAATGTCCTTATTTTACAGAGGAGGACACTGAGGCCCAGGGAGGCAAGGCTACTTGCCCCAGATCACGCAAGGAGTGAGACTCCAAAACTGAGTTTGCTCCTCTGACGCCAGAACCAGGACCCTTTCTTGTGTGCCACTAGGGGGTGCCTCAGGAGAGAAAGCAGTGAAGTTGGAGTCAGGAAGACCTGAGTTGAATCCTGCCTCAGACACTTACTAGCTGTGTGACCCTGGGCAAGTCACTTCACCTCAGTTTGCTTCACTTTCCTCATTACAAAATGGAGATAATGCCAACTTCCCAGGGGGTTGTGAGGGTCAAATGAGATCTTTCTAGAGCCCTTTGCAAGCCTCACTGTGCTTGCCATAGAAACGTGGGCTGTTATTACTGCTGTCGTATGTTTCCTTGCTTTGCTTTTGTTCCCTGTGGTCCACCTTCTTGCCTGGGCATCTGATTTGGAAGGTGCCCACGGGCAGCTTTCTCCTTTCCCTTTTCTTCCCCTGGGGGCCGTGCAGAGAGTATCTCCCCAGAAGAGGGGAGAGGAGGGAGAGCCAGGGTCATTGTCTGGAGGCACTCACTTTTGCTAGTCTGGGGCCCTTCATTGCCGGGGCTTCTCCTAGTGTCAGCTTTTGTTCTGGAGGGCAGGCTTGGTGGCGCACACAGCAGGCCTCCCTTTGGGGCAGCTGCCACCTGACCCCCATTGTGGCTTGTGTTGCAGCAGGCTGATTGTGCCTACGTCATCCTGCTCATGGCTGTGTACTGGTGCACAGAGGTCATCCCCCTGGCCGTGACATCCCTCCTCCCTGCCTTGCTGTTCCCTTTGCTCAAAGTCCTGAACTCCCAGCAGGTAAGTCAAACTGGAGGGGCTCTGGCTTTTGGGGGCCCTTGCTGGCACTCCCCACCCAGCTCGCTGCTGCCTCAGCGTCCTGTTTTGGGCAGGGGGAACTTTCCCCTTTGGGCTTATTAAAGGGAGCATCCAGCCTGCCCTGCCTTCTTCTCAACTGGTTCCCATGGGGGTAGGGGGTCTTCCTGTGTCTTCCTAGCAGAGTTCAGTTTTTGGAACTTGTGCATCTCTTACTGGATACGCAGAAATGGGGATACCCACGCTCGTCATTCCTACCGTCTAGATGAGCAAACTGGGGCTCTGAGTGGCAAGAGGACTTGTTCAAGGTCACTCGGATGGCAAAGTCAGGCCCTTCACACTTGAATTCCAGGGGTCTTGTGTAGACTTGATGCTCTCCTGGCAGGTGTCATCCCTGTCCCTGGGAAAGGTGTAAGATAGAGTGACAGACAAGCAGACAGGCAGACAGATACAGACAGGCAGACAGGAAAGAAGACAGACACAGACAGGCAGACACAGGCAGAAAGATAGAACTGTAGACAGGCATAAAAATAGAGCAGACAGACAGAAATAGCCACAGACAGGCAGACAAGCAGATTTAGACAGACAGACATAGACAGGCAGATAGATCCATAGACAGGAAGACAGACAGACACAGACACAGACTGGAAGTCAGACCCACTCACACAGACAGGCAGACACACTGAAGGCTGCTTCTACTCATCCCTCAGGTTTGTATCCAGTACATGAAAGACACTACAGTCCTCTTCCTGGGGGGCCTGATCGTGGCCGTGGCTGTGGAGCATTGGAATGTACACAAGAGGATTGCCCTGCGCACCCTTCTCCTGATTGGCGTCTCACCTGGCTTGTATGTGTCCTGATCTTCTCTTCCCTGTTGTCTCTAAGTGGGACCGTGAGGAGCTCATAACTTAGCACAGGCAGACACGTGTTGAAGAGAGTAGGGCCCCCCAAGGAGGAAGTGGCAGAACAGGGAGCAAAACAGGGGACAGCTCACCCTGAACCAGGGCTCTCCAACTAAACCTGGCAACCAGGGGCCAGGGTTGGGGTGGGGGAGCACGTTGTGAAAGCTGGCAGGGAGGTCAATGGGGAAAGGGATGAGGATGAGGATGGTCAGTCAGGGAGGATGTAACCTTTCCTTGGGTGCCCACCCTGGGTGGAAAGCTCCCTCTCCCCAGTGCCCACGCTAAGAGGTAGAGCCCACCATCAGATGCCCATGGAGGGCAGAATGCTGACTCCTTCCTTGAATCCTCCCTGCAGCCTAATGCTGGGTTTCATGTGTATCACGGCCTTCCTGTCTATGTGGATCAGCAACACGGCCACAACAGCTATGATGGTGCCCATCGTCGAGGCTGTGCTGGACCAGTTGAAGTTGACGGGCAAGGACAACACGTTTTACCCATCCAGCATAGAGCTCTTGGATAAGGATGAGCAAGAGCTCCAAGGTGAGCCCTGGTGTGCAGGACCAAGGATTATTTCCAGGATGGACCCACAGAATGGCTGTGTAGGCTTTGGCCACTCCCTTTTACCTTCTGACCCTAACCCTGCTACTCCCATCTGAGAGACAAAGGAGAACAGGCTTCCCTGCAGGTTTTCCTCTCCAGCCTGCTTGGTCAAGGGGCAGATTCTGGGCAGGGTCAATCATTTCTTTGAATAAGCTAATAGGAATAATGGTTGGTGGTGGAGGAGGCTGGTTCTCCCACTGAGTCAAGCCAGCCTTGCCACCCATTGTTCTAAGTGAGAGATTGGACCTGGCTTCCTCATTGGTCATGTGACTCCCATGGTAGATGCCATTTTCCCCTAGAGCTCCATCCAACAGCTATAAGGGGCTTCTAAGTCTCTCCTTTCCAAGCCAACACCCTCTCTGAGACCACCTGTTCTCTGTCTTCAGGCTGTGAGCCCTCTTCCCGCCTTGGACTAGCACCCTTGGCCTCAGGTACAGGTCTCTATTCCTTCCTCTGTCCCCTGGGCTGCTTGGGTCATAGGTGTCTTGGTATTGATACCATTCCTTAAAGGATGAATGCTTCCTTCCCATGTCTGAGCCCCCATCAGGTTTGGTGTGTGGGAAAGGCACAGCTCTAGGCAATGGATGACATGGCCAGAAGCCTGGAGACCTGCAGCTGTCCAAGGGAAATGCGCACATTTTGTGGAACTTTCTGGCCTCTCCCTGTAGTCCGTGAGCAGTCTTGGAGCCTTGGGAAGGTTTGGCAAGGCTGGTACCCAAGGTAATGACATCTGTTTCCTTTCCAGTGAAAAGTGTGGTTCCCCAGGTCAAGAGCAGAGAGGCAAGAGAAAAAGATAAAAATATATGCAAGGTATTGACACTGTGTGTGTGCTATGCAGCAAGCATCGGAGGCACAGGGACTCTGACTGGAACAGGACCCAACGTTGTGCTCTCAGGGCAGCTCAACACGTAAGTCATGTGCTTCCCCAGGCTCTTTGGAGTCCACATCAACTCTGTCCAAGTTCCAAGACAAGGGTGAACCTTGGGCACAAGGGGGAGGATTGAGAGGCTTTGGGATAGCTAGTCACCTTCCTCCTCCCTTCTCGAGGAGCTCCAGGATGGGAAAGTTACCCCAGACACATTTTCTTGATGCTTCCTGCCCAGACTATGCCCAGATTGGCACCAGGGATTCTAACATTTCAATGCCATGTCATTTACACCAAAACAGTGCTGGGCTGCTGGATTAACTAATGAACTGGGGAAAACAGCATGAGAATTTTCAGGTGGCCAGTTAAAAGTCTTTCACTTAAAAAAAAATTTTATCCCCCCTCCCCCAATTACATGTTAAAACAACATAACATAACATAACATAGCATAACGTAACATAACATAATATAACGTAACATAACATAACATAACATAACATTGTTATACATGTGCAATTATGTAAAACATTTCCATATTAGTAATTTTGTACAAGAAGACTCAAAAAAAAAGACAAGAAAGAAGAAAGACAGTGAAAAATAGTATGCTTCAGTCTGTATTCAGATAATATCAGTTCTTTCTCTGGACGCAGATAGCATGTTTTACCATGAGTCCTTTGGGATTGTCTTGGACCATTGTATTGCTGAGAATAGCTAAGTCATTCACAGTTCTTCATGGTATAACATTGCTGTTACTTTGTACAGTGTTCTGGTTCTGATCACTTCACTCTGCATCAGTTCATGTAAGTCTTCCCAGGATTTTCTGAAATCATGCTGCTTGTCATTTCTTATAGTACAATAATATTCCATCACAATCATATACCACAGCTTGTTCAGCCATTCCCCAATTGATGGGCATCCCCTTGATTTCATTTGACATCATAAAAAGAGCTGCTATAAATATTTTTGCACAAATAGGTCCCCCCCCCCCTTTTTGTTATATGGAATGGCTCTCTGGGAGGGGGAAGGAGAAGGATACTGAGGAAGACCTATAATGATGCAAAACAGAAAGGACTTCAATAAAAACTTGTTTAGAGCATTATAAGGAGCAGTTAGGTGGCTCATTGGTGTAGAGAGTGCTGGTCTTAGAGTCAGGAAAACTCTTCTTCCCGAGTTCAAATCTGGCCTCAGACACTAACTAGCTGTGTGACCCTGGGCAAGTCATTTGACCCTGTTTGCCTCGATTTCCTCATCTGTAAAATGTATTTGAAAAGGAAATGGCAAAGCGTTCCAGCATCTCTGCCAAGAAAACCCCAAATGGGGTCAAGAAGGGTCAAACACAACTGACTACTGAACAATAGTATCATGAAAGAGTAAGAGAATTTCCCAAGGTCACTTAGCCCTGGCATGTTAGAGATGGGATGAATTCCAGATGAATTAAGACAAGTTGTTTCTGTTGTGATCCTTTGTTTTTACAAAGGATCCCACTCACCTGTCTGGCCCTCCCAGAGAGCCATTCTTTATAACACATTGTTTCTTAGAAAAGAAAAAGAGAGAAAAAAAGTCCCAGCAAAATCAATCAATCCACTACACATATCTGATGGCATCAGTGGTGTCCCTCTACCTGTGGATGCCTTGCCATTAAAGGAGGGTGGGGGTTGGGAGGTGCCTTCTCCTGTCTCCCTGGCAGCTGGGCTTATTCTTAGGAACTTTATAGCATCTATCATCAATTCTGTGTGTGTTTTCTATTTTCATCATATAGGTTGTTTTCTAGTTTCTGCTGACTTCACTCTGTATCTGTTCATAGAGTCCTTTCCTTACTTCTTTGTAGTCATCACAATAGCCATTTCTTATAAATATTTCAGTGTGTCTGGGGACTTTCTTCTCATCAGTGGCTTCATTGGGTGTATGCCTCCTAATGGAATTTCTGAGTCAAAGGATATGGCTATTTTAATCATTTTGCATAAACACTTACTATGTGACCCTAGTCAAGTCACTTAACCTTGGTCTGCTTCAGTTTCCTCATCTGTAAAATGAAGATAATAATTACACCTACCTCACAGAGATGTTGTGAAGATCAAATGAATGAATATTTGTATCCAAACTTTTGCAAATAAGAAGAAAAACATGAACTAGAATCCAAGGGGGAGTGATACCCATCAACAGGGGATGGCTGAACAAATACCAACATAGCATAAGAGAACAAGAGAGTGACCATTTCAGAGAATTCGATAACAGTAATACAATGACAACATTGTATAGAATAAGAGCTGTGAAGGACTGAAGACCTGACTGTGATTCACAAGGACTGATGAAAACAAAATAAAAAAACTCCCATTCACCCATCCACTTCTTGAAAGAGGCAATGGACTCTAGGTGGAGACATGAATTTTTGGGACATTTCCACTGGATGGATTCATTTTGTTTGACTCTCTCCATCTTTGTCTCTGTCTCTCTGTTTCCTTCTATCTATCTCTGTCTCCTCTCCTCTCCTCTCCTCTCCTCTCCTCTCCTCTCCTCTCCTCTCCTCTCCTCTCCTCTCCTCTCCTCTCCTTTCCTCTCCTCTCCTCTCCTCTCCTCTCCTCTCCTCTTCTCTTCTCTTCTCTTCTCTTCTCTTCTCTTCTCTTCTCTTCTCTTCTTTCTCTCTCTCTCTCTCTCTCTCTCTCTCTCTCTCTCTCTCTCTCTCTCTCTCTCTCTCTCTCTGTTTTATCAGATTAGATGTGGGATGCTGAGCCTGTTGGATGGCCAGATCCAAAGAGAAGTCTTGAACCCAGTCAGAAATAAGTTGCTAGCATAGCGCCCTAGATTTGTATCAAAGATTTCTATAATGGTAAACATGGAATTCTCATTCAAGTTTTTAGATGACAAGAAGCTAGGAGAGATAGCTAAGAGGCTGGATGATGCAGGGTCAAGATTTTGACAGACTATTTAGAGTATTGGGTGGAATCAATGAAGATGATTTTTTTTCTGATCCAGACCTGAGAGTTCATCAATGTGGGGAACTTCCAGTGTGGGAATTCTCTCCCCTGATGTGGCAAGTGGTCTGTAACTCTTCATCTTAGAGAAGTGTCTAAAGGATGGACTGGTTCAATGAATTGATCGTTATGATTTTTTCCCCACTCTCCTGGTTTTTAACTCAGAGGAGGGGAGATTGGGAAGGAGAGAGAGGAGGGTTTGGCAATAGTTATGGGAACAAATAGGGTCATTGACACCTTTCTAGACATCCAGAGATGAGAAAGTCAGAAGGAAGCATAGACAAACAGCACAACTTTGAAAGTAACAAAAAGAATTTATTGTATGCTTTTTGTTTTAAGTAAGTGCTATAGAAGGGAGATTCACTATTTTCTAGAGAATCCTCTTTATGGGCTCAGCTGTGTGTATGGAAATGCTCCTTTCTTTTTTTGAGGTGGGAGGGATTAAATTCAGAATTAAAAAAAAAAACCACCACCATGAGGATCCCATGGGAGGGAGCTGAGGTTGTCACCCCACCCCCAACCTCATTGCTCTAAGGCTGAGCTGCCTCCTTCCCTTCCTCCTCCTTCCCTCTTCTTCTTCTTCTTCTTCTCCAGGTTGTTCCCTGAAGGCAAAGATATTGTCAATTTTGCTTCCTGGTTTGCCTTTGCCTTCCCCAACGTGATTGTGATGCTCATCATTTCCTGGGTCTGGCTCCAGTGTGTGTTCCTGGGCACCAAGTAAGTGGGGGCTGCTCCATGGGGAGGGGAAAGTGCAAACACTGCCCAGAAACACCTGTAATAAATGAAGGGAGGGCAGGAGGGAGGAGGGAGATGCTACAGCCCCCACAGTCCTTCTGAGGTTTGTGGTGGGGAGTTTCCTCAGGGCCATCCTGGTGTCACTGTAGCCTCAGGGCCCAGGATCCCTTTCACTCCTGGGGGCAGGGGATTGTTATCTTTGGCAGCTGTCCTCCTCCCACTTCCTGCAAGCCCCCAGCAGAAGGCAGTTCTGTCCTCTAAGGAGGAAGGGGCTCTGAGGTCATCAGAAACCCATGTCACCGGGGATGTCTCCGGTCTAACTGATGACATTGCTGGGTTGCAAGTCTTTGTGGAAGGCAGGCAGCACATGGGAAGGGGGAAGCAGCTGTGTTCCCCAGCATCTGTCCTCAAGTGGCTGTCTATGTGATTTGGGAAATGGAACAAATGGCCCCCCAGTGTGATAAAGGGACATGTATAGTGGTGGGTGGGGGGTATGCCTTCTGAAGGCCAGCATGCCAGCGTCAGACTACCTGCTCCCCAGGTTCTCTGCTGGTCATGGTTCTGAGCATTCATGCTGGCCTTGACTCGTGTTTTGGTTCCAAAGTTTTAAAAGAAACTTGGGCATTGGTACGGAGAAGACTGAGAAGGAGAAGGCAGCGTACCTGATGTTGAAAGAGGAGTATCAGAAGCTGGGCCCCCTCTCCTACGCAGAGATCAGCGTGCTCACCAACTTCCTGCTCCTGATCATTCTGTGGTTTTTTCGTGATCCTGGCTTCATTCCTGGCTGGCAATCGCTTTACTGGGAGGAGAATAAGAAGTAAGGGGCTGGGTCTCTCCTCTAGAGTGGCCCTTAGCCTGGGCTCCACTCGCCCCTTCAGCTCTTCTCCATGAGGGGGTTCACCTTGCTCTGAGCATTTGTCCTGGAAGGACCAAAGCAGGGGGGCTGCTGGGATCCCCAGAAGCTCCCAGGACTCAGAGATGACTCAGGGGACCTGGCCACCATCTACCCAGCTCTCACGAAGAGGGAGACCCAACCAGGCTTTTCCCCAAGTCTCCTCTTCAAGAAGAGAACTCCTAATTTGCAAAGGAATGGGATGATGGGAGGGGACTCCTGAAGGCCAGACCAGAGTGGGGAGGAAGGGAATGAGAGGCACAGTCCAGAGGTAGGATCATTCTATGTGTTCTCAAGGCAAAGGAGATAGCCCATGTGGTCCCAGTGAAGGGGGAAACACTTGATAAGTCTGGCAAGGTTGGACAGCACGAGATACCAGAAAGTCTTGGATGCCTTGAGCAAAGGAGGCTGACCTTGATTATAGGCTGTAGGGAGTTACTGGGGGTTTTTGAGCCCAGGAGTGACATGAGGAAGGAAGGTTATTCTAGCAATGGTGTGAACGACAGCTTGGGCCAGACAAGACTGAAGTGGGAAGACCTGTAGGGAGGGTCGTGCAGGAGTTTAGGGGGTGGATGGGGGACTGGCCATAGGAGGAGAGGGAAGGAAGATGTGAATGTCATCTTAACAGGAAGTGGGCAAAGAGAAGCCTCAAAGACCCCACCTCCTGTCAGAGAGATGAAGGCACCATGTTTCCCCCAATGTGCCTGGACAGGTGAGCAGTGGGGCCCCAGCAGAAGCCACAGAGTTAGGAGAAGGAAATGGAAAGCAAATTAGCTTGAGTTGCTGGGAGAGACAATCTGTAGGCAATTAGACTACAGAAGAGATGTTAGGGATGGAGGTGCAGCTATGGGAGCCTGGCCAAGGGAGAAAGTGCAGAGAGGTAGGAAGGTGGTTTAGGACAGAGTCATTGAAGACACCTAATGGCAAGGTCTAGAAAGAGGACAAGGAGCTTTATCCCTGGCCTAAAGCCCATAATTGTTGGAGCTTTGGTTCCCATTCTTGGACACCATCATCTCCTCATTCATTTCCTTTCCAAATCCTTTTGTCTCTTCTGAAGCCCTCCTCCTTCATTGCTAAGAGTGAACTCACCACCTGAGCTTCTCACATCTGCAGGACCCTCTCATCCTCAAGCAGTACTTTCTACATTCATTCCTATGTTCTCTGGTTGAATGAGTCTTGGGAAGTCCATGTCTTGGGAAGGCAGGCAGGCAGCCAGTCTCTGTTGTTGGACAGCAGGGAGGAGTCACTGGTCTCTCCCTTCTCTGATCCCTTGTGGATGCTCAGTCTGCTTGCAGAATCTGAGACGCGCCCCCCCCCCCCTCCAGCTCCCTCTCATTTGGGAGGAACTTCCCATCTCAGGGTTAGCTCCAAATGCTTCCACTTGCCAACTCCCTGACACACATCAGGATCCTCCTCAGCCTTTTCAGAGCCTTCTCTCTTCTTACATGAAAGCCCTTCTTCCATCACTGAGGAACATTGAGTCCCTTTAACTTAAAGGAGAGAGACCAACCTTTATTTTACTTGTGGGGGCAAGAGCCTCAGTATTTTGTGGTTCTTAATAGTAACCCTTGTCCCAAATCAGAGCTGGAATGTGGCACCATTCTGAAGTCTTGGGGGTGAGCTGGCTGAGTTGGGCTTGCTGGGCAAAGAGTTAGCAAATGACCATTTAAAGGGAGGGAGAGAGGGAGGGATAGGCTACGGAGGGAGATTTGTGAGCTTGGGACAGAAGAGGAAGCTGGGACAGTAACCTGTAGGGTGACAGATGATGACAGTGAGTTTGGTATCTTGGGGGTAGCAGGAGGCTTCAGTTCTAGTGAGAGGAGTCCAGAGGAATTGTTGAGGATTTTACTGAGGACACTGTAGATGAGTGAACTGGGCTTGAGTGTCTGGGAAGGAGTTGTGATGTTTAGCAAAGGGTGTGAACCTTTAAAAGGAGGGGCATGTGGACTTGTACCCAAGGCCAGGAATGGCACCCAGATCTGGGCATCCAGATCAATGAGAGGCATAGCAGCTTAATCCACCACAAGGTGGGCAGTGTGCCAGCATGAACCCCCACCCATGGGACTAGACCACAGGGCTCCTGGAATTGGATTCACTGAGCTGATGAATGGCCAGTTACTAGTTCCAGGAGGGAAAGGTCCTCATGAGCTGGGGTGGGCAGAGAAGGGTCAGATTTCGTGAGCCAGCCAGGAGGTCTGTGCTCCCACCAACTCCATCCTTGATCTGGCTCATTCTGGATCCTCTTGGCCAGAATCACCCATTGTTGGCTCATATGCTCTTTAGGTATGTGTCAGATGGCACTGTGGCAGTGTTTGCGGCCATCCTGATGTTCATCCTTCCTTCCCAGAAGCTCAAGTTCAATTTCCGAAGCCAGACTGAAGAAGGTTAAGTCCCCAGAATGGGGGGAGGAACAACTGACCTAAACTGAGGGGACTCTGGTCCATGACCATTGGGGGCAGTATGGCAGAGGGGCCATCTACCTACCTCGTGTCTAACACACTTGTTGGGGCTTTTTATTTCAGAGTGGAAAGCCCCATTCTACCCACCACCCCTGTTGACCTGGAAGGTGGCCCAGGAGAAAGTTCCCTGGGGCATTCTGCTGCTCCTAGGGGGTGGCTTTGCCTTGGCTAAAGGATGTGAGGTAACTGTGAGTCCTTCCTGTGGCTGTGTGGGGAGGGCTTTGCTTGGGACCTGGTACCAATAAGGGAGACCTCACAAAGCTGACACTCAGCAGCAGTTCATATGAAGTGGAATGGATAGAGGGGGAGATTCTTCTCTGCTTGGACCCAGGCCTATAGTCTTTAGCCTGGCAAGAGTTGGGAGGGAGGATATTGGAAAATTAGACCCACTGAGGCCACACATTTCACTTTCCTAATGAGCAGATGGGGATAGACAGATATGCATCCCCATCCCCACATGGACTCCCTCTGGCCCTACATGGAGAAAGGGACCTGTATGCAGTAGGGATCCAAAAGGGCCAGATGGAAGAAGAGGCAAGATGAGAAGAATGACCAGGGCTTTCTGTCTCCCCAGTAAGACATCATTCTGGGGCTGGAGTACTGGGCACAAGTACCCCACATTCCGAGCCTGTCCAGAAACTCCTCTGCCAGGGCAGCAGGAGTCTGAGGAGACTTGTTCAGAGCTTCCCTCCCTGGCAGTAGGGAGTCTGAGGAGATGGACAGTTCTCCTGGTTCTCCGGAGGGTGTCTAGTCCACCAAGGGATTGGGATTGTCAGCATGATGGAGGAGACAGAGGAAGGGACACTGGATGAAGTATCTGAAAGCAGGCTTCAAGCCCAGCCATGCCACTACCCAGTGTGTGATCTTGGGCAAGGCACATCTCTGAGCATCAGTTTCCACATCTGTAAAATGGGTACCAAACATTAGATGGGATTCTTGTGAGGGAAGCATGTGTCAACGCGTGGGGACGGTGAGGGGCTGGCCAGTGGAGGCCTTTGCTTGGTCTGACATCCAGGGACGGCCAGACTTTCCAGGGCCTGTTCTTATGCTTGTAGGTCTCAGGGTTGTCAGAGTGGATGGGACAGCAGATGGAGCCCCTGAAGAACTTCTCCCCACCAGTCCTGGTCCTGTGCCTCACAATCTTAGTTGCCTGCATCACCGAGTACACCAGCAACATCGCCACTGCGACCCTCTTCCTGCCCATCTTTGCCTCCATGGTGAGTGGACTCAGCCTTGCCAACAAATGTCAATGACATCTTTCCTGTGGGGACAGAGCACTCCCCCTCCCCCACCTCCCTCCCTCCTCCCACACCACCCAGCCTATTCCTCTGAGCTTTTCAGGTACCTTGGGTGGCTGTTAGATTATCCCAGGATGGCTAGCTGTGGTTAGGGTTCAGCATCTCATTTTCCTCTCCACCTTCCTACAAGGAGCTTTGTGCACAGTAGGAGCTTAGCCAGGGCTTGTTGCTGAGGGTAGGCCCTGTGCTCTAGAAGCTTAGGCTCTTGTGGAATTAGATAAAGATAGGGAAGGGAGGCTGCATCCCAGTACCAATGTCTCTTTGGAGACATCAGGATTTCTTGAAACAGCCCCCTCTCTCCCCATTTTAAACTCTGGCCGAAGTGAATATCATGTTCCTCAAATCCTACCTAGATTTGGAGCAGAAAGGAAGGCCATTTGACCAGTGAGGCCATTTAGTGTAGCCAGGGCCTCTTCTGAGTGAGGCCAGTCAGTCCTCAGCCCCCCAGGCACATACCATTCAATGGAGACCTAATCACTGAGGTGACTGGTGAACACCAGTCAAAGCCTGAGACCAGCCACCCTTCCCTGGAATCCAATCGTTAACAGTCCTCCACTGGCCTCTTTCCTCCTCCACCCCCTCATTCTTCTCTTATATGGTATTATACTATTCATCAATGTTACACCATTGGCACCTGGTCCTGGGACTGGGAGGGGTCTTCTAGAGACAGAGTCATGGGGATCTTGGGCTTAGGGACTGAAAGGAGGGGATCCTATCCAAACAGTACAGCCAAGAGGCAGTTAAACCATTCCAAAAGCAAAATAAAGTGAAGTTTTCCCCCTCTTGCATTAAAAAGATGAGAGCCTTCCAAGTAGCAAAGTATACTGCCCAGCTAAGTGTCAGGAAGCGAACCTAATGGAAGGCTAGGATGGGTTTACTTCTCTTGTTGTGGCCACGAATGGCACCATGTCTCCCTGGGGAGCCCCACAACAGAGGCCTGGATGCCTCCCCAACACCCTCCCTAGAGCACTCTGTCATCTGGCCCTGTCGTGGTCACAGGCTCTCCCACAGTGAGCTGGCTTTCACCCAGACGCTAGACGTGGGGCTTTCTGGGGCTAAGTCTGCCCCCTCCTAGCCTGGCAAATCTAAGGCTAGAGAAGAGCGTGTGTCAGGGCCTCAGGGCCCTGCACCTCTACTCTTTCTGGTATCATTCAGAAATCCCAACCTTGGCCATCACCCCATGAGAACTGCGTTCAGGGAAGAGCTTCTCATGGAATGGGCAGTAAATCTCAGCTAGCTATCCAAGGATATACGCTTAGAACAGGTGCTGAATGGCAGCTGGACCACCCACCAGTCTGTCCCCTGAGTTTCTGCATGTAGGACAGGGGGTTTTCATTAAGTCTCTGGGCTCTTGACTGACCCCCTGTCCCCACATGGACTTATAGGCTGTGTCTCATGCACCCCTAGACCCATACCTCTTCACTCACATCACTTTGTGCCCAGTTGGGATAGGGGAGATTTCTCTGCTGAAGTGACTGACGCGATCTCATGGCCCCAACACCAGACTGTCCTTTCCCCAAGGGGTCTGATTGGAACCGTCCCCCCGCCCCGCAAAAATTGTTGGGTCATTGGATTCGATCTATGAAATCAAGCCCAGGCTCTAGGCTGAATAGACTGGCTCAAGCCGAGTGTGAATGATTCACCAGTGCTGTGAGCATCTGGCCATTTGTGTTTGTTTCCTGAATATTTACAATGTGTTTTTTATTTTTCTCCCAGTCCCAGAAAATTAACCTCAACCCCCTGTATGTCATGCTTCCCTGCACTCTGAGTTCATCCTTTGCCTTCATGCTGCCTGTGGCCACGCCACCGAATGCCATCGTGTTCTCTTATGGCCACCTCAAGGTTGCTGACATGGTAATCTAATCGTTCTGAATTGTAAGGTAGTGATAAGCTAAGGCGTGGGTGCTGTCCATGGTGGCTGAGTGTGGCCACATGTGAGGTGTGAACACACAGCTCAGAAATCTCTGCTCCAAGCAACACTGATTCTGGCCTGAAAGGGAATTGGGATAAGGGGCCACAAAGCCAGCTAGCTGGAAATATCTATCTGCCTCCCCAGAGACTGCTGATCTAGGTTAGATCCAAGCTGCTTCCTGTCCCTTAAAGGAAAAGAGATATAGTTTAAACCCAAAGGCTTGATTAGAGAGAAGGAAGCGGGGGGGAGGGAGAAAGGAAGGGAGGGAGAGTAAAATTTCACTGGGGTGGGGTGGGGGATTCCTTAAGGTCTCAAGGAAGACAAGAGGACAATGAGGGACATGTTGGGGGTAGGAGGGGCCACTTTTCCAAGTTTGTTCTTTTTCCTCCTGGATTCCTCTCCAAAGAAAGTCTGGAACCATATGTCTTCTCATGAAGTAGGAAGGAAGAAGGTCTCTACTCCCAAGCTCTCATGCCAACTGTGCCCTTGCTGCAGACCTGTAACATGAAGTCCTCGTCCTCTCCACCAATAAGGGGAATCATGCAAATACCAGCATTCTTGAGCACTAGAGAGGCAGTCTCAGAACCACTGCCCTTGGGCCTGAGGAACTTCTCAGAGTTCATGAAGATGGCAGAGGTGCAGTAGGACCTGGGGCAGGCAAACATCTTAACTTTCCCAGAGGATTCCAGAAGGTGCAAAGGATTCTGGTTAGGTGCATCTGGAACAGAGTTCTAGAGCTGTGTCAAAGCCAAAGCAGGCCCTGAGGATGCAGAGCTGGGGCATGATTTTAGTCTGTCCCAGATAAGCCCCCCTGCCTCCAGGCTCAGGCTTCAGGTGGGACCTGGGAGGCCTGTGCTAAGCCCAGCTCCTGAGAACCTCTCTCCCTCCCTCAGCAGCACATGCCCTCAGGGGGAGCTTCTGGCTGTTGGCCCAGTGGTACCAGACTGTCAAGTCTGATTCCAGTGGTCCCTTCTTCCCTCAGCCCAGGCTTACCAGCTTTAGTCCTTGGTTACTTGACTAGTCCCCTGCTCTCTGGCCTTTCTTCAGGAAGGCCAGCCACCTCAAATCATTCTAAGTCAATGGAGCCCTTAGAAACCAGCCATGACCATGGTAGCATTCTAGGGAGCCTGGATTCTTAGTAGCTCTCCCAGCTAAGGGCATCAGAAAAGGGACTGAGCTGTCATTCCAAGGATCAGCTTAGCTCAGTGTGGAGAGACTCACTATCACAGGGCTCATTCCATGGCAAAGAATTAGAAGCAGCCTCTTGTGATGGGAGCAGAGGGGGTGGAGATGAGAACCTTCACTGAGATGCCGGTGCTCCAAATGTGAGGTCTTGTCCAGTGTCCAATGAGTGCAGGTTTGTTTGTTTTTTCTTTTGTCCAGACCTAAGATTTCATCAGAGCAGATAACCCCTCAGTGGGAGAACTCCAGCTTCTCTGAAACTTAAAACCTGGGAGCACTGAGAAGTGATGGGTTTCATAGCCAGTCAGGGTCCCAGGTAGGACATAAGCCCAGGCCATCCTGACTTGGAAGCCCTCCTGTCTGTCTGACTGGTGTTCTGAATTTGAGATTCTATGCTCTCCAAAGCACTGGGTCCTGACCATCTTAAGATTCTTGAGGACAAAAGGATTGCCCACCTTGAAGAAGTGGAAGACTTCTTCCCTTGGAGAAGCAGAGAAAGGCATTAGCAGAGTTGGCTTTAGTGTGTGTGCAAAGGTAACCAGAAGAGTTGCCTCATGGACAATTGGTCCTCTGTTGCAGGTCTCAGGATGAGTTACTTGGCATGGAGGATTTAACAATGGAGACTTTAACAGTTAGTGATTGTAATGTAAAGGTGGCGCTAGGCTGGGAGTGGGGAACCTGCGGCCTCGAGGCCACACACAGCCTTCTGGGTCCTTGCATGCGGCCTTTTGACTGAACCCAAGTTTTACAGAACAAATTATTTTATCAGTCAAAGGACTGCACCTGAGAACCTAGAGAGCCACATGTGGCCTAAGGCCACCCTGGATAGGCAAAAAGAATGAAGACTACATTGGAAAGCATTATGTGGAAGTGAGAAATGAATGAGGCCAAAGGTTTGTGGACCTATATATTGTAAATACTTCAAGAATGGAAGCTGGAGAAAACATGGTAAACTCCAAACAGTGTCACCAAAAAGTGGATTCTATTTTAACAGAGATCATTGATCACTGAACAATTTACAAATCAGCTTTCTATGCACAGACTATCAATATGTTAGAATAAAGATAAAAACAACAAGAAATATGTTGTGAAATTGTTCCAATCTGACATGCTGAAGCAAGCTTTTGATGACAAAAAATAGGAACTACATAGAAGAACAAAGTCACAGGTGATCACAGTTCCCTAAGGAGATTTAGGGGCAGTAGGGACTCGTCTTCCTGAGTTCAAATCCAGCCTCAGACACTAGCTGTGTGAACCTGGGCAAGTCACCCTGTTTGCCTCAGTTTCCTCATCAGTGAAATGAGCTGGAGAAAGAAATGGCAAAGTACTGCAGTATCTTTGCCAAGAAAACTCCAAATGGGGTCATGGAGAGTTGGACATGACTGAAACAACTGAACAAGAAGAAAGAAATTTAGCCAATGAAAATCAACCTCCCCAATGACCCAAAGAGCCTAAATTCTGCCTCCTCATTGCCAAGTGGAAAGAGATGGTCGCTGAGGACAACACCAACAGAGAACCAGAGCAGAGTGGAGATACGTGAATCATGTCCGCAGTAAAATGAGAGGAAGTTGTAGGACTGGTGAGGTCATCCTTTTACAAGAAAAATGTGAAAAATGAGAAAGGCCTTTTCTCACAGACTCTTTGCCATCCAGAGCAGCGACACAATTGGACCCTCAGCATCATATAGCAAATACAAAAGGTAACGGGAATGAAGATGGAGAGGCAGCTGGACTAGATCAAGTCCACACCAATGATGGGGGCATCAGCAGGTCGATGATTGAAAGAGCTGAAAGGGGTGTTAACAGGTGCCTGAAAAAGCCCACCCAAGCACCGCTGGCCAAGAGAAACTGCCCAAATTCATGAGCTGACTCTCCTCATGACCAGAAAATGCTGATCCAAAGAATCTGTTCAAGAAGTAAGGTCAGACTTGCCGAAGGCACGAGATGGGAAGGGACGGTTTTTGGCAAATGATGCCCTGTCACATGGAATCCTGACAGTCACAGAATTGATTGACAGACATCAAGGAGGCAGGGTCCCATGTTTGTTGATTGACTGTAAAACAGCCTTCAAGTCTCCCCTCCAACAAAACAGGCATCTCCAAGACATGCATCCAAATGTCACCACTCAGGATGCTGCGAAAGATAGTCATAGCGCCTGCCTTGTTTAACCGCCCCGCCTAATGGCCAAGTAAGTCACCGAACACAGACGTGCACTTGCCAACGGGGCATGCCCCAGTCATGGAGAATGTCCAGCCCACATTTCAAGGAGAAGGATTCCTTCTGGAGAGTGATGATTCCCACTCCTCAGAACAGAAGCTTCCTGTCCTCGGAGTTCAGAATTGTACTGACAGTAGGAGCTGACGATGCCTGGTGGCCAGTGTGATCCTCCAAACATTTTCCTGTTTGCATCAAGCCAGAGAACGTTGCAGAGCTTCCTAAATTAGATCCATGATCACACCAAAGACTTAGGCCAAATGAGCCACACAAGGAAAAAAGTGGAGGAAGAATGCCTATTGTTTGGACTGTGGTTGTCAAGCGTACAGACACTCATGGCCTTCCATGGCTGGAAGAGCAGACACACGGGCTGATGTCTAGCCAGCGGCAGATGTTAGTCTCCAGTGTCTCCAGACACTCGATGTGGGGTCATTGGACTTCAACTCTGTGATTCTCAATGAATGGACGAAAAAGCATTTTATGTGCCAAGCACTATGCTAAGTGCTGAGTATACATGTATGAAAAAATAGGCAATCCCTGCCCTCGAGGTGCTTTTGCATTCTAGTGGGAGAATAGTGGCTAGGGAGTGGAGTGGTGGTTACGTGGTTCCCAAAACTTGTTGTTGTTTGTCCTTCATTCTCAAAAGAGGACCACGTCATAGGGAAGGTGATCATGACTTGCAAGTGAGTCCGATTTAAGCGAGGGAGGGTTGTGCAAAGTCACCAGCCTCACTTTTTCCTCTGGAGCCATCTGGGTCCAGTGGCTTGATGTAGATTAGGACTGGAGATGGCCCTGGATGCAGTGGGAGACCTTGGCCTTTTTAAGCTAAGGTCTTTCCCAGGTCTCAGTTTGTCTGAGGCAACACCCATTCAGTGATTAAGGCTAGGTAAGAAATGAGGCAGAGAATGACCTCTTTAAACTACTCAAAAAAAAATCAATCTGGGAGGGGAAGATCCTCAGAGTTTCTGGTCAGAATAGAAACAATTGCTATTTATATGCACTCTGCCCATCAACCAATGACCAAACCAATGCCCCAAACAATGACCAAAGCAGGCTTGGGCTTATTGTTAGCCCATCAGTGCCAGAGTGATTAGGTTTAAGGTCTGGTCCTTAAAAAAGAAATCTAGCCAGTAAACCCCAAGATGTCTTGCCAGGTTTCATAGGGAACCAGGATGACACACCCTACCCAGGCACAGTGGCCATGCTGATTTGATGAAGGATTGTGGGGACAGATGGCCACAGAGTGTGAGTGGAGTGGGGCCTCCAGGAAGCAGTTCTGTAGTATTGAGTCACAGATGTGCTTGCCATGGATTCTCTGTGATTTTGATCGGCTCTCAGGTTTTTGTTGCACAATGACAGATTTTCTCTGCCACTCTGTTAGTGTGTTCTCAGCACAGGCAGAGCCTGCCTAGGGCAGTTTAGTGAGAGGCAGGAGCTTGGGGTGGGGGGAGTTTGGGGGGTGGTCTGTCTTTGCTTTTGCTCTGTCCCTCCACCCCAGCCTGGCCACTGCCCAGTTGCTGACTTGGCTTTTTTGTTCCAGGTGAAAACAGGCTTCGTGATGAACATAATTGGCTTGATTGGTATCTCTCTAGCCATCAACACCTGGGGACGTCTCTTATTTGACCTGGATGAATTTCCAAGCTGGGCGAATGCCACACAAATCAGCACTAGCAACTAAAGGTTGAGCTGGCCAGCTGCTGTCATGCAGGAGTGGCAGGGGGAGGGGGGTGGGGGGAGGGGGGAATGGCAAGAGTCTTGGTGGTGAGTGTCCCCAGCCTATGGCCTGGTAGCTCAAGGGTCTATGGCTCCCTCAGCGTGGCCTCTTGGAACAGCCTGTGTCTGCATATAGAACTGAGAAGTACTTGGCCCAAATGGGCAAAGATGTATAGAGATGATGTGTCTGATCAAGTTCCCGTGCCTTGAGTAGAAATTACACACGTGAGACAGAAGAAGGCCAGCCGCTCTTCCTAGCGCCCACTCTAAGTGGCCGTTCTGGCTTCCCTGGTAGTCAATGGAGCATCCCCTGGGCCCAAATGACCAGCAGCTTCTCTCTGCAGCAGACCCCAGAGCCCATTGACTAGGGCAGCTCTGGTGCTCCAATGCTGTGTGTGCAGACCTAGGCTGTCTTGAAGCCTGGAACCATTCCCTGCCAGGTTTGGGTATTTCCTGGGTATTTTTGGGTCTGCCCCTTGGGTTAGTGAGGGAGCAGGGCCTCATGGCTCTGTCAAGGGAGTACCAGGCAGTAGCCATTGAGAGCCTCCTTTCACTGACTCTCAGCTGGCTCTGCTAGAGGGAAGGTTCAGGAAACCTTCCCCTTTCAGAGCTAGGCAAACCATCTCCCTTTCCTGAGCTCTGGAAGCCCTTGACCTGCAGCCTCAAACAGTAGATCTGGAGCCCAACTCCAGGACAAAGAAGGGCTCCCAGCCCTGCTCCTAAGCCCTAGGTAGATGTCATTGGCCCATGAAATGGCGCAGATGGCCAGGGTCCTCTGGCAGGTGTGGAGGTCTTTGCCTCTTCTGGCCCCAGACAAGTGCAACTTCTCAGCACTCACTCCCTCAGTTCACACTTGGTCAGCAGCTTCTGCTCTGGCCCAGAGGCCCCCCAGCCCCCCAGCCCCCGAATTTCTTGCTGGGCTAGGGACGCAGGCAGAGGAGGTGATTAAGGACTACTTCAAGGGGGAATAAAAGATCCGCTTGAGCAGAGTGGGGTCCCTTGCTCTCCTATGGTGGCTGGCCTGGAGCCTGAGCCCCAGAACGCATCTGGCATAAAAGAAACAAGGCTTGTTCCCACAAGAAACCAGCTTCCTATTTCTTGTCTGTCATCCATGGGTGGTCAGTGGCTCTGGACGTATGCTGGAGAACAAACCAAAATGCCTTCCCCTGTCCAGGTTTGTTATAGAAGGCCAAGAATAAAGTTGCCAGGCTGAAGAGATCACATTACCTGCTCTGTGTATCACAGCTGCCCAACACGCATGCACACTAGTCCTGGCTCCCCTGGGAGGGGACTGCCCCACAATTCAGGGAGGGAGTTAGTTACAAGGGGAGGATCCAGGCAGGGTTAGAGGCAGGAAAGCTTCTCTAAGCAGGAAAGCTGTCCAGCAGAGGCCTGGTCTGCCTAGACATGGGGTAAGCTCCTCCTCACTGGTGCTCTTCAAGCAAAGGTTCGACAGCCACATGGCCAGTACGTTGTCCAAGGTGGGTTGGCATGGATGCTGCTAGCACCACCAGCTCCCTTGTTCCTTTCCCCTTGCCTTCACACCCAGGATTGGTCAGTGTGGAAGGCAGGAGAGGGCCCAGACAGATGTCAAAGGCTTTTGCTGTCACCCAAAGGGGTGTGTGACATGGTCCCACCTGCTCTTCAGGAAAATCATTGTCAGCTGGATGGAGGATGGATTGGAGTGGGAAAAGCAAACTATCCATGAAATGCCTACTATGTGCCAGGCATTGGGGATGTAAAGGCAGGGTACAGTTCTCGCCGTCAAGGAGCTCAGTCCATGGAAGACACCATGCAAACAACACTTGGCTCTTGGAGACAATGTCAGGGGGAGGGCCTAGGGTTGGAGGTTGGGGGAGGTGGAGAAAATGCCCAGAACTGATACCCAGAGGCTCTTGTGGGAGGAGCAGGAAGGGGACCAGGGCCTCAGGATCCCAGAGTTTGGAGGGGAGGGAGAAGGCTTCTACCTGTCTTCTGGCCAGATACAAATGGAAGCCAAGTAGACAATGTGGGGTTTACTGGAGGAGCTGCTCTTTGTTGCCTGAGCAGAGAAGAGATGGGAGGGGGCAAAGATGAAGCAGGGAGGCCAACAATAAGGCAGCTTGGGAGAGAGGTGATAGCAGCAGATGAGGTCTCCTGCTTGGCAGTCTAGCTTCCTGGGAGATTGAGAAGACAGCTGGGAAGAGGGAGGAGAACAGCCCCAAACAGGGTGCAGGGCCCACAGCAGGACTCAGCTTTCCACTCGCAGGTCTCAGGTGGCTGGCCCCACCAGGGAGGTACTTACCTGCCACAGTGCCCATCAGGATCCTGGTGCAGTGACAGCTTGTAGTGAGAAAGGCCAGCCCCACCCCCATCTACCCCTTTTGTCAGATTTTCACACCTGACTGCTCAGTCCCCCCTCTTATAAGAGGCCATCCCTGGTTCTACCAGTCCATAGTGATCTCTCTTTGAACATGGGGAAACCCTAATCATCGCTATGCCATTCAAAGAAGCCTATTTCAGAGCTGGAAACATTTGATTGTTGAATCTCCCTCAAAGCTTAGGACCCGGCATTGGCATGATTACTCCAGGATCAAGGCACTCTGGTTCTGCACTGCATAGTAAAGCTCACAAGCCCCCACTGGTGTGCTTCCCTGTGGTAGGCAATTTGTTTACACAATTAGCCCATTGTAAAGACATTTACTGAAGCGCCTAACACAAATAGTAGTTACAAACCATTCCCCCTAGAAACTCAAGCCACACTTTGCCAGAAATACACACAGCAGTAAGGAGAGTGGACACACACTTTAGAACACACACCATAGTGAAGCATACGATCAGGGAAGAGTCAGTCAGCAAACATTTATTAAATGCTTGCCATGTGCCTGGCACCATGCTAAGCAAAAACATTCCCAACTCTCAATAAGATTATTTTGGTGGGGAGATGAAATGTAAATAAATATATATAAGATACCTATAAAATAGATGCAAGGTTACCTTAGGAGGGGGAAGCCTGGGGGACAAGGATGGGTCCCCCATGGAAGGCTGATTCTTGAAGCAAGCCAGAACGAGAGGTGAGAGAGTAGAGCTCTTCAGAGTGGACAACATGAAAATGGGTAATGGGGCATAGTGTTTCCAGACTGGCAAGAAGGCAGGCACACTTGGAGCATCAAATGTCTAAAGGAGTAGGGTGCAAAAATACAGGAAAGACAGGAAGAGGTCATGTTACAAAATAACTTTAAAATCCAAACAGGATTTTATAGAAGGTTCTGGGGGGCCACTGGTGAATTCTGAGGAGGGGGTAGGGGTGACATGGTCAGACCCATGCTTCTGGTTTCTCACCTTGGCAGGCATGTGGAGGATGGCTTGGGATGGGGAAAGCTTGGAGGGGCAGAGACCACCTAGGAGAGAGGGGATGAGGGCCAGACCTGGGAGAAGGTGGAAATGACATCACCTGATGCCAAAGTTTCAAGCCTGAGTGACCCTCCCTCCAGTCCAGAAAAAGGAGGGTGGGGGAAAGAGTTTTCTTTCGTAGAATGCCTGTGGCCAAGATGATGATGCATCTCTGGCACTATGGGTCCCTGCTGGCCTCCTCCTTCTTATGGCATTCTCAGGCTGCTTCCCCTGGACCCAGTCTCTTCTGAGCAGGTCACTCAGTTGGAGTTTGGGGTCTGCTCCTCTCTGAAGCTCCATTCCTGGTCAGGGCTAACTCTCTCCTTGGGGCTCATGAAGCAGCTCCTGTCTCATGCCTTGACTCACCCTGTGCCTGCCTCTTGTTGGGCAGTATCTACCTCCTGCTGAACAAGAGCCGCATTCCAAGGTACCCCAGCCACTGGTGAAATCCCACCTCCCTTCCCCACTACCCTACACAGGGAGGTGAGGAGTGAGAACCTCGACAATGGTTCTCTTTGGACTCAGCAGAGCTCACGTTCCTCAGAGCAGGAGCCTAGCTCAACTCTGTCTCGAGAGCTGGCTGTGCACTTGGAAGACCCTCTAGGGGCATGGATGACCCTTTACCTCCTGTGGCTCACTGAAGAGTCACTTCCCTCCTGGTGCAGAGATTTCATTTGGTACCTCAGCACTTTGCCTGTCTTGACAGACCTTGAGGGGGCGTACTCCCAGAAGGAAACGTCTAGAGACATTGCAACAGGCACCCCTGTGACCCTGGCCATTATTGCCTCAAGCTTCAAGGGCCCTGTGAGAGAGGTTCTCCCTTCTCTCCCCCAGAGCCTGGTCACCAGGGCCATATCCCTGCCCCACAGGAGCCACAGCCTGGCCACATATGACATTACCTCAGCTCCAGCAGCTTTGTAAATGAGCCAGCTGGCCCATTGCCCTCAGGGCTGCCGTATCACTTATCAGAGATTTGAGGAGGATCTAGGGAAATCCCCCAGCAGGTGCAGAAGTGTCTGCCTCTCTCTGCCACTTTCACTAGGGTGGACATTGAGTGTTCTGGGCAACAGGAGTTCAGCCTGGAACTCTATGGATTCAGAATATGCTTTCTACTGACAGCCTGGAATGTGGTCTGTGCTAGCCACAGACCCCATGCCTTGGATCACCCTGTACTACCCATCCCTCACCTCTCCTCCTGCAGGGACTCGACCCCTGATGGAGTTGGAGGAACTCAGAAAACACCCATTTTAGGAAAGGTGTAGGAGAAAGCTCTCCCTGGCATGCTGTCATCATGGCCCAGGGCCTTGAGGGTCCCCCATTCCCCCTCACACGTTCATTCTGAGATCAGGGGTCAGTGCCAACAGTGACCGGCCAGTTCTGCCCCTGCTCTGGTGCTCAGCTATCCACTGAGCTGCCCCAATCGCTGTCCTTTCTCCCGGCTCCCACTTTACCCTGGGGGCTTACCCTTCACCCTGTCCCCACGCCCAACACCAAGGCCCAGAGCCTTCCCCAGGATCCCTCCTGACTCCCTACAAGGAGTCTTCAGCACTGGCCCTCCAGGTGCTTCTCCTCTCCCAAATGGTCCCAGAGGATCCTGGACCTTGGACAGGGCCTGA